TTTTTCCGCATAAGTCCATGGAATGCCCCTTAACTTACTAACTTTGAAAGAGTTTACCCCTAAACTTAGTATCAAAAGCAATTTGGCATCAGAAACTGTACTAATTCACAAATTATCCATTCTTCTTTATTAATGATAATTTTAGACTCAGTAATAATCATCATATAGCTTTCTTTATTAATGAGAATATGAATTTGTCCTCTTTGATAATAGTTTTACAAAATAAAATACATAGATAGTGAACTTACTAATTAACACCTTGGCTACCACACAAAAAAGCTCCTCGTGAGACAACACAGTAGCCTTGTCATACAGTTGATATAGCTCTGCTCCAAACCCACCATGAGGTAGCCAATCAGCAAAATAAAATTGACAGCCTCTGCACAGTTTAAAGCAGGAAAGAAAGGGAACATGTATGCTGCAATGATTCTTGTGTTTTAGCACACTAAAACCTACTTTTTCATTAATTTTGAAATTTGTACAGCAAAAGTTATAAGCACTCAATTTAGATTGATAATAATTTGAAAATGCAATTTGCTTCCAAACTTCTTCTCAAATTTTAGGTGCATTAATCGATGGACCGTTCAAGACTTCCACAATCAAATTTATATTTCCTGTCAACTAACTCAAAAGGATCCCTCATGCAACCAGTTCTAAAAACATGATAAACATCATATGATACAAAATTACTATACACAAACTCATATGGTAACAAAAAAAAAAAAAAAAAAACCCAAATGATTAGGACTAACCCATGGGAACTGTAGCACTTAACATAAAAGGGATAAATATGGCAAAGATCATGCAAAAACCACAACTAGTGCAAAGTAAAATACTTGTACTCTTTTGTTTCTGTTTTTTTGTTCTTCATGTTTTCGATTTTTCTAAGGCTCCTCCATAATATGTGCAAACTATGAATGCTTTTCAATTCCAACAAGCCTTTCAATTCCAATTTAATGATTCAATTTCACTGAATGATTCCAAGAAGTATCCACTTATAAGAGCAAAAATAACGAGGGACCCAAGCCCTCAACATTCATCTCCATAAGCAAGTATCACATAAGTAACATGATATATTCAATTTGAAAAACCAAATGAAACACAGCATGTAGCATCATAGACAACATGGGCATGCATACCATCATCAGTCCATATTCTAAAAACCAGATTTATGTAATCTGGAAGACTCAAGAGGATAAATTTTTTGGAAATAGATTGGGGGGTATTAAAGATTAATCTATGCTTAGGGTCCTTCCTTGGATAGCTAGATTCACAAAAAACTTGTGGGAGAGCCACTAGAAGATCAAAATTGGAAATAGATGGGAAGTCCTAAACCTTCTTATACCATAGACTCTCCCCATTAGAGCTTACACCAGGAGGGTATATCAATTTCAGATTATTAGAGCTGTTCCTGTATACTTTCCTAAATCTATCCAAGTCCCTAGTGTTATCCTTCAATTGTGCAGTTCTAATCCATTTCCCATATGTATACATAGGCCATGAAGGATCCACTGGAGACATGACTCCCTCTTCCCCACACATTTCTCCAAATGTCCTAGCCTTCCACACTTATAGCAGAAATCAGATAGTTTCTCATACTTCAACTTTACTCATTTGTTTTCCTGATTCTTAGAGTGAGACCGGAAACCAACAAACAGGGGTTTTAGCACTTCTATTTGCATTCTACATCTAAGAAATCCCCTAACAGGACATTGTTCAGGATTGGGTTTTCTGCTTAACCAAGATACCTAGGCAGCTACCTATGGTAACCGCATTGTTATAGGTAAATTCATATAAATTCAGACCATGGACCTGAATCCAATAGGAAGCTAAGAAGAAGTCAATATCAGCTAAGGCAGTACCATAATCCCATTGCTTGACATTAAACAAAAAACCACCTAAAGACCATGTAGCATTGTCCAATATAAGCATCAAGCCGGATTCAGTGTGAAAAGAGATTGTATAAAGATTTTCGTCAACTTCATTTACCTGAAAATCCTTTTGACTCCCATGCCTTAGCCAAAACCCAATAGACCTAGTTGTGGCAGACTGGATTTTTGCAATCACCCTTCCCGCTGCAATGAACAACCTCCGATCCTCAGATGATGCATCAAATTCCAAGCCGATTACTAGTCCCCAATGAGCCATAACAATTGCCAATGAAACTGTAGGGAATTAATTTATAGGCTTTAAAGGGTTTAGAAAACTGAAATTCAACTCTGCTACTATTTAAGAATTTTGGTCAAGGAATCAAAAAGGCTACCAAATGAAAGCTACTATTTATGGATTTTGTGTTGATTTGGAGGAAGGAAAGCAACGATTTACGGGTTTTTTTGTTGATTGAGGAAAGATCGAAAGGAGAATCGAAAAGTTATTTTAGGAATTCCTGAGGGAAAAGACAAAAAAGAACCTACGAAGAACTCTGTATCTGAGAAGGGGAATTTTCAATGAGAAGAAGTAAAAGAAAGTGGAGGTGGTGGCAGTTGAGTTGCTGGGGAACCCAGCTAGATCACCCCCAGAGGCAGCCACACAAGGGGTGAGCATCGGTTCAGTTCGGTTGGAACCGAACCTGAAATGATGGTTTTAATCGGTTGCTTATTTTGTAAGATAGCAACCAAAGATCGAACCAAATAATATTTCGGTATTTGGTTTGATCACCAAATTAATTGGTTCAATTTATCGGTCTCAATTTTGACCAATTCTAACTTTAGGCCCTTAACGATTTTTTTGGGTTTGGGCCTTCCATTTTGAGGCTCAAATATCCAATAAATGCTTTCTGATCCATTTTTTCCTTTAATTTTATGATTCAAATTATTTGAATCAATCCAAAGCAGTAAAACTAAAAAGTCATCACATTTCGTCCCGCACTTGGTGGCTTACTGGCCACCATTTGCGAAATGTGCGTAAGATTAGTGAATTTGAGATCAAATCTCAGGTCTTCCTTCCTTTTTTTTCGAAAAAAGTTTCACACTGTTAAAAAAAAGAAAAAGTCATCACATTTCACAAGTACAAAAAAAGGCTTTTGACCTTTGACCTTTTTTACATTTCCTTTCCTTTTTTTTTTTTCAAGATTCCCACCCTTATGATTATTGTTGTGCAACTCAATAGTATTGTTTGCCATTAATACATCAGTATTAGCTATATTACTTATGCCTTGTACCAAATGGATCAAAATTTGCATGATTAATTGAAAAAAAATTATAAGATATTAAACAAATTCACTACTTGATAAGAAAATAATCAAATTCATCAAACTAAAACTTACAATTAGGTTAATTCCATTCAACTTGGTCAATCTTCATCTTGATATCTTGAATCTTGAATATTGTAATAAAATAGAATAATACAAATTTGCAACCAATTAAATATAAAAAGTTAAGAATTATAATTATAAGCATTATAAACAATATATTAACCAATGACTTGTTGGTCCGAGTGGAAGGAATTTGGTTCTGTTTAAATAAGCTCTCGAGTTCGAGTCTTATGAATAAAGAAACAGGTGCTGGGAGAACTTCCAACAAATGGGGTCCAACACGGTTGGATTTTGAATTAGTTGGGACTCAATGTGGTTACTAGATACCGGAAGGTTAATACAAAAAAAGAAGAAGCAATATATTAAAAAGAATCTTAATTTTCTAACAAATCAAGCACTTTTTTTCTTAACCTTAAATTTTTCCTTTTTAGATGATCCTTATATACCATGTCAATCAAGATAAATTCAGAAAAGAAATCCTAAACATTCAAACACTTCCTCCATTTTAAACCTTATTCAATCCATTTAGCTCTATCAAAAATCATCTATTAACTAATGGATGATTTCAACAAAATGCAAGTACAATCAACCCAACTTCTACAAAATTGAACAGTAGGTTTAACCAAGGAAATTCAATTAAAAAAATCCAAAAACTCAACTAAGAAAAACTCAATTAAGGTCTAGAGTCCCCATAACCATAGAATTAGGAACTTTTACCTATCTTTGGTATGAGAATTTAGATCTGATTTCATTGTGTTTCCTTTTAGAAAACCATTAATCGTATATGTTGATGTGCCATAATGGATGGAGTCGCTATCTATCTGAGTGAGGTGGGATAGATCACAAAGGTCTACGTAGAAATTGACTAAGCTCGGAGTGTCGGTTAAGCGTGTGGAAGGTGTTAGGCACCTTACAACTTCCATATAATATAGTTACCACCTACTTTCATTTTGGGACTTTTCAATTTTATATCAAAATAATAATTACCAATAAATAAATAATAATAATAATAACAATAATAATAATAGTAAACAAAAAAAATCACTTCCAAAAGAACAAAGAATCTGTCATCTTTCTTCTTTTTTTTTTCGGTTTTCATTTTTGTTTTTTTTTTTCTTTTTGTTTTTCAATCTAATGCCTTTCAAAGA